TGTCCCTGGAGGGAAATATTGCCCTTGATTGAGAACCATGAAATTAAAATGATAATGGAACTTTCAATCGACACATTAGAAGTCATAAGGCAATGGAATAATATCTTCAAAATGTTTATGGAAAAAACTAACAATGCAGACATGTATATCCAGCTAAAGCTATTATAATTCAAGAGCAAGGGTAAAATACTATTATTTTGAGACAAAGATTGTATAACTCATTGGCTCCTGCTGAAAGAGATGCAAAGGATGTCTTCAGGAAGAAGAAATATTAAATCCAAAAGGAAGGACTAGGATGTGAAAAGCAGTGGTGATGAAAATAATTAATAAACACATAAGTAAATCTAGATAAACATTGACTGTATTAAAAAAGGACTAATCTGAAAAGTTGTAACATAAGAGGGAAGTAACATGCAGATAATGATGAGACAATTAAGATGGGAGGGGTGATAGAAACTAATGCTTTTCGAGGTCTTTGAATTGATCAGGAGGAAGGNAATATTCTAAACTTGGTGAAAGATATAAATTCTCAGACGTAAGAAATACAGAGTCCCAAACAAGATGAATGACAATAAATACACCATTAGTCATATCACAGAGAAACACTAAAACAGCAAAGACAAGTTAAAAACAGTAATGAAAGTGAAAAGACACTACTCATGGAGAAACAGCAATTCAACCAGAGCTTCTCAATCTCGGCACTATTTGAGACATTTTGGACCAGATGATTTTTAGCTGCAGAGGGCTATCAAGTGCATTGTAGGATATTTAGCAGTATCCATGGCCTATAAGCACTAAATGCTAGTACCATCTTTTCCCTACTTGTGACAACCAGAGATATCTCCAGACATTGCCAAATGTCCCTGGAGGGAAATATTGCCCTTGATTGAGACCCATGAAATTAAACTGATAATGGAAATTTCAATAGAAACATTAGAAGTCATAAGGCAATGGAATAATATCTTCAAAATGTTTATGGAAAAAACTATCAATGTAGACTTGTATATCCAGCTAAAGCTATTATAATTCAAGAGCAAGGGTAAAATACTATTATTTTGAGACAAAGATTGTATAACTCATTGGCTCCTGCTGAAAGAGATGCAAAGGATGTCTTCAGGAAGAAGAAATATTAAATCCAAAAGGAAGGACTAGGATGTGAAAAGCAGTGGTGATGAAAATAATTAATAAACACATAAGTAAATCTAGATAAACATTGACTGTATTAAAAAAGGACTAATCTGAAAAGTTGTAACATAAGAGGGAAGTAAAATGCAGATAATGATGAGACAAGATGGGAGGGGTGATAGAAACTAATGCTTTTCGAGGTCTTTGAATTGATCAGGAGGAAGGTTGACTGTATTAAAAAAGGACTAATCTGAAAAGTTGTAACATAAGAGGGAAGTAACATGCAGATAATGATGAGACAATTAAGATGGGAGGGGTGATAGAAACTAATGCTTTTCGAGGTCTTTGAATTGATCAGGAGGAAGGGAGAGATATTGGCTATGATCTCAGGATATGAAAAGATGTGTTAAATTTGACACAGAAAAACACAAACTATAAAGGAAACAATACATAAATATGGTATGTTAAAATTTAATAGTCCTCTGACAAAAGACACCATAAATAGAGTGAAAAGAAAGCCACAAACACCAGATCTTTGCATTTCATGTAATGAAAAATGATTGGTCTCCCAAATATATAAACGACACGTAAATCACTAAGAAAAACAAAACAAAATAGGAAAGGGATGCAAACAATTCATTCCTAGAGTAGGAAACTTGAATTCTCAATAAACCTTTGAGAAGTGTTTAGTCTTACCAATCCTTTTGGGGATGAAACCGTGAGACAACCTTAAACAAATAACAAATTGGGAAGAATGATCAAGTGTACAACAGCGAGGTAGGCAATGATGTGGAGCTAGGGAAACTCTTACTCATTACTTCTCAGGGTGTTAACTCGCAAGATCACTTTGGAGAGCCATTTGGTACTATCTCTTTAGGTTAAAAATATGCATAGCCATGACTTGAGAATTCCAACTCTCAATGACGAGGCTGTAGACATTCCACTTCATATGTGCCAGGAGACACGTGCAAGGATATTTACTTCACCACTGTTTATATCACCAAACAAAATGGAAATAAATAACCTCTACCAGTAGGGAAATGGGGAACTTAGAGATAGCTCACTCTTAACAGGAAATGCTAGATAGCAGTGAAAATAAATTCAGTTGATTTACACATATCAAAAGGGATGAATGGAAAAAAGATCATGATAAGTGAAAATCAAAGCTTCAAAAGGATACTTGGAGTATGAAGCAACATATACAGAAATTAAAACACATGAATCATAAGATATTTCTTTATGGGGACATATGTATGTGATAAAGACAAAAACACACAAGTGTTACTTTGAGGAGAGTAGAACAGTAATGCGGATGGCTTCTAGTTCTATCTGTAATACTGTATCTCTTCTATAAAATGGGATCTAAGGTGATTATGACAAAAATGTAATGTGTACTTTTATCTCGGCAGTGGATACATGGGTAATTCTAAATAGAGAGGATTTGTTTTACAGTTTGGTTTTCTATGTGTTTCAAATGTTTCGTTAGAAATTTGGCCAGAGAAAAGGAAAAAGACAGAAACTCTCCTTCCAGTCTGGCCACTCTCAGAGCATCCCAAAGATGGGAAGGGGTATATATAGGGGCCAAATGTTCTTTCTCTCATCAAAAGTTTTAGTTTTAGAAAAATGAAATTGTCTCCTAACAGTTATTGATTTTTCTTTTAGAAAAAGATTATAGGTGGTAGTGATTTGTGACTGTGTGCACTTTATATTAATTTGATTAACTGGCTAAGATAGTTTTCTCCTATATTATTGAAATGTCATCAGTTTATATAGGAATCATGATACAGAAAATAATAACAAAGCCATATTCACATATCGCTGCATGCATGTAGGAAGTGCTTTTATAAAAAAGGTCTCATCCCTTTAACACCTATGTGATTAAGTGGGCAGATTTGATTTCCATGTTCTCAATGACACACACACAGACACACACACAAAAAGAAACTCCCACAGACAAACTACTTGTGCAGACCAAATGAGATCTGTAAGATAATGTGGTCCAACACCTTTGTGTCTTAGCTATAAGCAAAGGTAATGGAAATTATCTTTGGGATTAATATTTTTTCTGCCAAATCCCATCTTTGTAAAAGGGAACACATGAGATCATTCACATGAAAGTCCTTTGAATAATGTAAAAATCTCCTTCAAATGAATGGATTTGTTGTAATTTTCATTACTATCTTTATTGCTTCTTTAAATAAATCACTTCTAGATACAGATAAACTTAACAGTAGGCAGACATAAAACCCTTTTTCTGGTATCTTATAAGTGAACGATGTGTGAAGTATATGATTTGTGAAGAAAAGAGGAAAAACATAAATTTGTATATATAGTATAATCTTTAATATTCAAAAATATACAAAAGATAAAATTCTGTGAAGAAATTAGGCAAAATATTACCAATATATGCCTTTGGGTAGTAATATTATGGATGACTTTTAAATATAAATTATGTATTTTCTAGTTTTATATGGTGATCATGCATTATGTTTTTAATCAGAAAAAAACTCCCAGAAGTTGTCAATATCTAGGTTTTATTTGGAACATGTATTTTGGCAAAGATTTGCATTTAAATGGCTAATTTTAAAAAGTCTTATGCAGTTCATTAAGGGGCAGTTCTTATGTGAGTCAATCCACAGGGCATAGATAGGGCCATCCAAAGCCACTCCTGCACTTATATTTGAGTATTTAAAGATTTCTTGTTTACTAAAGAAGACATTAAGGTTTAGGATTTCAGTCAGATATTTAAGCAAGTGTTTGACTCTCAAGATCTTTTTGCAAGAAAATATTGTCTCCACCTGCTGGTAGTCATGTATTAGTGGGATGGCTTATATCCATGTGAAATGAAATCCCCCTTGCACAAGAGTACAGAAACGGCATCCTCTCATCTGTGTTCTAATCGCCATAATAATGGTTAAATTTGTTAGGTTTACTGACTTTTTCCCCCTAACGAGGACATGCATTATATCACTCTATTCCTCACAATATCCATTATTGTGAAGTTTTAATGAACTCATTTTATATAGGAGGACAATTGAAGCACAGAGAGGTCACACCATTTCCCAAGGCTACACAGTTAGTGAATGACAGAGCTAAGACTCAAATCAGATAATGGCATCCCTCTGCTGTTGCTGCCTCCAAATGTGTGGAAAGCAACCATAGTAAATCTGGAGTGTAAAAGCCCTATTAATTGTGAAAAGATCTATTAAAAAACAGTGAATGCAATGAAATGCAAGTCAGGTGACCTGGGATGTAATCATTCCTCAATACTTTATTGGCTTCCATGAGACCCTAAGCAGGTCACCCCTGAGTGACCCTGTCTTTTGCTGTACTTTACAGGGCTTTCCTGAAGATCAAATGGGACAATGGGTGTGCAAACCCTTTCTTATTTGCTTCCTGGTTTTCAAATACTATCTCTGAATTAAACAAGATCATTAGAAATGTAAAAACAAACAAACAAACAAAAAAACAAAAAAAAAAAAGGAAAAGAAAAAAGTAAAAACCTAAAATGTATTATCGTCTATCCTGCAGACATGTCATCTTTAAGTTGTAACTTGAAGTCTTGCCTTTGGTTTTACTAACCATAAATATATAAATGCCTATTTAAACATGCTTTTTTGCACCTTTAGTTAAAGTATAAAGATACTTTCCACTGCATTGCCCAACGTTGGAAATTCGAGACCTAATTTGATAAACTACTCTAATTCCCTGAAAACAACTGTTTCCTCATGAGACTATGCTCCCTTTCTGCTGTCGGAAGGTAAGAGCATAGAGCTCTCTTCAGCTTTGGCTGCCAGCAAGTTTAATTTCGTGTCCATTTCCGCAGTCCACGCCCTCGGCTCTCAATGTTTGCTTCCTTCATAGGCTTTACTCACCCTTCTTTGCAAGTGTAAGTGACAGTGTTTCCAAAAGTGAAGTTACTCCCAGCGATGACAGCATCTTTGACGACAGGCGGCTCTCCACAGAAGACAAGGTGACAGGTAGGTGGCGCTGTGTCCCAGCTGCCGGAAGCCGTGCATTCAATGAGGGACGGACCCTGTAAGCTACGGGAGAGAATGACGTCACCCTTTGCATTGGCTATTCATTTAGTGCTATGAGATGAAACAGGAATACGAAAATAGGGGACATGAGGAATTCTAGTACATGAAAATAGCAGTTCTTCATATTGTGTTGCTTTATATAAAAATAAGGGAAATCTAAACAGGCTGTATACCATTTAAAACAATCAACGGGCTACAACAAATTGGTGCAAAATAGAACATTCTAATGTACTCCTTGGTGGTGTTGCAGGGCACTCCAGACCTTGTGAATAGCAGATTACTTGGATGAGAAGGGGCTAATAGGCTGGTTAAGATGCAGTGGGAAGAGAGACATTTACCTGAGTAGCCAGGTAATTAGGGTAACTGAGCTCAAAGGACACTGTCCTTGCCATGAGCCTGGGCATTCGAAACAAGTTGCTCATGACTCTGACCCCTGGTCTTCCTTTGACTCTACAACCCTCACATCCCTATGTCCTGGCTTATACACCTTTGCTAGCCGACATGATTCTGAATGACTGTATCATGTACTCCACTTTCTGTCCACTTGATTAGTTTCACTTCTCATCCTTTTGGCCAAGTTTCTGATCACAGCCTGACTTTCTGTTTTGTACCTTCTGTTTGAACACACACATCATTAATTAAATTAACCTCGTGCAGTATTAAGAACCTAGGCCCTCACCTTGACATGCTTTTTTACAACATCCAATGCAATAATGAGGATAAGCTTGGTAAGCTGTTTATAAAAGAAAAAGAAAATTTCATTGTGAAAGCATTTTATCAGGTATTGTGTTATGCTTCACAAACAATTTTTTGCTGTCATGTTTAAAGGCTGCAATTGAAGTAGGTCTCCCAGAGTCCCAGTTATATTGAACATTTTCCTAGGCTAGGGAAAATTTATAAATTTGAACATTTTCTCAGGAACCATACAAATTTGAGAAAATCCTTACATTTAGAAATTTTTTTTTTGTGACCGGTAAGGGGATCACAACCCTTGGCTTGGTGTTGCCCGCACCGTGCTTATCCTTACATTTAGAAATTTTTTTTTGTGACCGGTAAGGGGATCGCAACCCTTGGCTTGGTGTCGCCCGCACCGTGCTCAGCCAGTGAGTGCACCGGCCATCCCTATATAGGATCCGAACCTGCTGTGGAAGCGCTGCTGTGCTCCCAAGCACCGCACTCTCCCGAGTGCACCACGGGGTCGGCCCTAGTGCTGCGGAAGCGCTGCTGTGCTCCCAAGCACCGCACTCTCCCGAGTGCACCACGGGGTCGGCCCTAGAAATTTGTTTTTAAAGTCAGCTGGTCACATACAAATGAAACCTACTGATAAATAATGAGTAACAGGGGATAGTACGAAGCTCAGCTGGCAGACTTTACCTGTATCCGCTCTCACATGAATATAATGCAGTAGAGAGGTAGGTAAGCCCACTCAAAATATATTTTCCATTATTTATGTTTTCAGGATTAGAGCACTTCACCAGTTCACACACAGGGGGAGAATGACTCCAAGAACCATTAGCAAGGCAGGACGATTCTCTCTCACCAGCCAGAGTATATCCTTTATTACACCTGAGAAAGAGAGAGGAAAATTACAGAATATAATTTGCTTTATTTTGCATAATTTTATCCATGCCAAAACCTCTGAAATACTGAGCATTTATACATATTGAGAAAGTTCCCTTTTTTCTCCTACTGAAATGATGCTTTTAATATTTTTTTTTAAGGTTGAATACTGTACATTTTCTCCACAGGGACCTTAGGGGTGATAAGTAGAAGGATAGATGAAGAATTTGGTTTGCCTCCAGTTTGTAGTCATGGGTTAGTAGCTGCAAACTGACAGTTCTTGGTTTGAGAGTAGCGCAGTTTAGTCTGAGGCCCTGAGATACCTGGTTTGGAATCAAAGCCCATTTATAATCAAGTGTATTCATTAGCTTGGACCGCTTCCTCCCTGGTATCCACTCTCAAGGTGCCTCCAGGGGGCGCTAGTGGCAATAACAGGTTCCTTGTCAGGGGACGTAAGGATTCTAGATATGAAGATTATTGGATTAAATTTCTTCACACCACACATGGTTCAATTAATTCCATGTTAATTCAAAACATCCTGTGGAATTATCTCCCCCCTCTCTTCCAGTATTATACAACTGCCAGTGTGTCATCAACAACTTCTTTTAGACACTTACCTATATATCACTTTATTGCCATAGGTAAATGCTGACCCATCAATGCCACCATTTTCTGGAATAGCTGGTGCACCACAGGAAACAGCTTAAAGGGGGAAAAAACAAAAAGCATGGCTTTTCTGAGCCAGTGTGTGCAAAAGTCTCTGAAAGCTTAAAGGGCAGCTCTGGAGTTTCTTTTTTATTTTGGTTGTGTTTAAACATGAGCCTAATACAAAGAATATTGATATAACCTTACAGTTGACATGTCTACACGTCTACACCTTACCTCTCCAGGATTGCCAAACACAAAAAACAGGGGAAATTTACTAAGCATACCTTCACAGTACGGTATCAGATGATTCCATTCTCCAGACTCCAAACATGTGATTTTGGTTACTCCTATCAGCTGGTGCCCTTCCTCACATGA